GTTAGAACAGGTGAAGGTAAAACTCTTATTGTAGGACTAGCAGCTGCATTTTTTGCTTTATGTGGAGATGCTGTTAATATTGTTTCGAGTAATCGAGATTTAGCAATAGAGGGAGAGAAAAAATGTCGTTCATTTTTTCAATTATTAAAACTTGAAAGTGGTCATATTTGTAGTGAAGATGATGATGTTAATCATCAATCATATAGTCCTTATTTTCGATATATTTATTAAATAAATTAAATATATTTATTATTTTTTGTTTAGAATCATTAATATCAAAAGTTATGTCAATAGAATCATCTGTTTTAATATTTGAAAATAAACCTTCAATACACATTTTAATATTATCAAAACTTTGTTCTTGATAGGAAATATAATTATAAATATTATCTTTTAATTTTTTATTAATTTCTGGAATTTCTAATAGCTCATAACAATATGATAAAAGACATTTAAAGATTGATGAAATTCTTTTAACGAATTTCCTGTTTTTGAAAATGTTTCGATAAAATCTAAAATTACATTTAAACTTTTATCAGCTCGATTTATAACTGGAATATCTTCAGTTTTTTCATTTTTAAATATTTGTTCAAGATTTTTACATATTGAAAGTAATTCTTCTCTATTGGAAAACATTTTTTCATTTTCAAGATGATTTTTAAAAAAATTTATAAATTCGATATAATAAGACGAACGCGAATAATTATCTGAGTTCGGATGAGACAATTTCAAAATCGCATCTAATTGTGTTGCACAAGTAGGATATTTCTCTTGACTAATTAAATTACTTATTTTTTCAATATTTAAAAGTATTGCATGATGTAATCTATCTTCAAAATATTCAAGATTTTCACTAAGTTTTTCTTGATAAGATAACAAATTTAGAGAATATTTTTTAAGAATTGAAAACATAATATCTACTATTGTGTCAACTTCAAAATATTCTCGTTTTATTTCTTCAGCATTATCTCGAACTTTTTCAATTTCACTAATACATTCTCGTATTTCATTCTGATTTTCTATATTAATACTATGACTAATATATTCGTAAATGTCATTAAATGTTTTAATAGTAACAAACGTTTTATAAAATTAAAATGGTTTACTGGAGTAAGTGATCAATGTATTTATAAACTTAATTTTATTCAATGTCCAAAACAAAAGTTAATGTCAGA